TACTCAACAACTGGGTGACACTGGTAAAGTAACCTCACCTCACTATTCCTTAATTTGCTCATTTTGTGAAAGGGTGGTGACACCTGCCTAGCCATCTCCCAAGACTGTCATGTATGTAAAACAGCAACAACAAAACAAGCAAAAAGGAATGAGTGTCTTTGGAACACTGTAAAATGCCATGCAACTGTTAACTGTTTATTATAATTATTCTCTAAGGTGCTGGCCAGAGCGTATTAGTCTCAGTAACCAATGGAAGTTTCAATGGTATTGGGAAGAACTGTCTAGCAAAACATTTTTGATTCTTGTGTGAAACGAAACAGCAATACCATTTTTATAAGTCCGGTTATGAAAATAACTGTGCTGGAACATGGAAATAAACTTCTACAAATAGACACTGGTTGGAAATGGACTCAGACTCTAGAGGTATATATCTCTATATCTATCTATCTATCATCTATCTATCTATCTATCTATCTATCTATCTATCTATCATCTCTCTACCTATCTACCTCTAGAGGTGTGTATATAGATAGATGATAAATAGATATCTCTAGAGGTATATATCATCAGGTGGCAGGATTTATTTATCTTCTACCATTTGGAAGAATATTAAAGAACAAGGTGATCAATGGAGAAAGAAAGAATTTGGGAACAAAATAAATTTTGGATCAGTGTCAGCTCCTTTAATAGCTGTGTGATTCTGGGCAAATTATGCACCTCCTCTGACTCTTCAGTTTTCTCACCTATAAAATGAATATAATAATATAATACAATGAGTATAGTAATATTTAAGTTGCAAGGTCAGATTATATTGTTAGGTAACATAAAGTGCCTAGTGCAGAGCCTGGTCCAGTGGCAGGCACTCAATGAATATGAGCTATTATAATCTCACTTTGCCCAGTTCCTCTCATAGTCTATATACTTGTTTACCTATATTTTCCCTATTCCATTTCTTTCTTGAATCGTCTGTCCCATAGCCTCCCTGTATTTACCAGACTAACCTGCACATAGGACTCCTTTAAAATGTTTATTTAAACTCCATATTTCCTTCATTATGTCTACCTGATCATAATAAAATCACTCATTCTTCATCTTGTGTTAGAATCACTTTATTGCTCCTGTAAAGATACCCTATTCAATTTATTGTGTGAATACTTAGGATGCCTCACACACCTGCTGACCCCAGAAGTAATCATAAACATGGAACAACATAGAACCACGGGAAAAAAATAAAACAGAAATGAGAATAGGAAGAGTTAAAGGGAATTTTAAATAGAAATGACCATCCTAAGATTTAATGTTGTATAATACATTCATTTTCATTTTTATATATAGACAATTTTCAGGATAGAAATTTACTTCTTATGACTAATAAAATAAATATAATTGTTGGTACCCTATTGAGGAAATCAGAGAGCCTTTCTAATTTCCTTATTCCGTTTCTTGAGAGTATGACAGAAACAAAATATTCAATGACAAATACTACTTTTTGTTTTCCTGGATGGAAAAAACTAACCCTGAACGGCTGTGTCTGAAGATTATCTGTAACTTTTTAGTATGTTGTGTGCATACGCATGAATGTGACTCAACTTCTCTCTCTTCAGTAATTCCAGCCTTTTCTCCCCTTCTCTTTAAAAGGATGGTTGCCCTTCTTGTCCTAGTGAAATCCTCTTTGTCTAGTTAAGTGTAACTTCCTCTGGGAATTCTGACATTACCTTTGGGCACTCCCTCCCCACCCCAACACCAAGTAGAAATAGTTTATCTTTCTCCTGTGTGTCACAACATCTTGTGTATATCATCAGGCTCCTTAGCAATTAAGGTCTCTACCCTCTACATACTTCCAAGACATAGCACGATGTCTGGAATATAGCAGTCATTTCCTGTATGAATTTTGACTGAAGGCAGTAGATGATTGAGCCTGTCTTTCCCTTATTTCCTGTCGATCTTAAAGTTTGCAGTGTGTGACAATGTGGTGCTATTTTAAGAGTTGGGGAAGTTGGTCAGAATTGGGGATGGTGTTGGAGGAAAGACAACCATTTCGCTTCCCTTTTTCATCTTCCTTGTGTTGTTATTATTTTTAATTAGATCACAGAAATTTCCGTTCCAATCTTTAGAAAGATATTCTGTCAGCATTGAGTTAGAAAAGGCTGAATTTGGAATAATTCTTAAACATCACACAGCACTGTGCAACAGCCTCTGTCTACTTTCTCCAGCAAAATCTTAAGGCTTTTTAAAAAAAGACATTGTCTTTATCTTTCCATGGTGACTTAAGAGGCATGTTTAGGAAAATTTTATTTTAAAGGTCAGAGATTCCAATAGAGCCAGCCAAAATTTTGTGAAGTTTATAGAATGATTAATTTCTGGAGTCCTTCATTTTCCAGCCCTTTAATTTGTGCAATCACATTGAATGTTCAAAGTATATACTCCTTTTTAAAGTCTTTCAAATACTCTCTGCCGAGTCACAACTGGCAATTCATAAATAGAAGTGATTAACATTCCCCGCCACAAAGATCCTTGAAGGAAACTAAAAACAAAAATGGCATCTTTGTTGAATCCAATTTGCTTACATTTTAACACACATAACTCCACTTAACTGGCCATCACAGCAAAAGCCACAACACACACACACACACACATATACACACACACACACACACAGAGCAGCATGGAGCTAACCACACAACTCAACAGACAATGCAGACAAACTTGAGTATAAACCAAGATTTTTCTACCTCTTTTCATAACAGGTTAGTGCTGGCCCTCAGTGTTGGTGTACAGTTTTTATGGCATGGGAAAATAGGGATGTTTCTGCCCTATAAAAATAAATGTGTTGAAGGCTTTAGTTTGAGCTCACACAACGTCAGAAAGTTCCAAAGGCACTGGCACAATACAAAAAAAAAAAAAAAAAAGAATCCCACAAACAAATATATCACCAAAATATCACCAAAACACATGGCAAGATACTAAGAAAACAGTGGTAGGAAAACTACTGGTTTCCTGGATGATTTATGCAACAGTTTTCAACACCTTCCTGAAAAATAAAGCATAAGAGAGGCATGCTGGTGGGTCTTTGGTGGGGCATATCTTGTCACCGACCACCATTCATACCAAGTCTTTGGCTTTAAACTGCTCATTAGGTCATTTTCTCCCTGCAGAAGTAAAAAGCACAGAACCCTTATTGTTCTTTATCTTTTAAGCTTTAGGGAAGGCTAAGAGAAAGAGCATGTAGAAACGCATGCACTATCTTTAAGAAAGAAAGGGATACATGGAATAAAAATAAAAATACAAAAAATATCATTTCTTCATTTTATATGTCATAATATACACTTCTTTCCAAACCTTAGTTTGATACGTGTGGTTTTTCATGGATGACATCTTTACTCTAGAAAGAGTTGGGACAGAAAGATAAGCAGGAAGCACAAAGTTCTGAATTTGAATAAAGACAATACTTTCGTTGTTACATCAAAGGATGCAAGGTGAGAGATGGGGTTAGAAATTGGGAAACTTTCTGAATTGGACTTAATGATTTGTAATTCCTCAAAAAAACAAAACTTACCACATTCTGTGCAAATTTCTCAAAAGATGTTCTGCGATCCATTGAGTGTTCCGACTTACATGAGTGGGGTGGGATGGGGCAAAGGGAACTAGGGAACATAAATAAAAAGAAAGCAAAGAAAACAGAGTGGAGAAAGACAGGATGATGAAATGATGCAACAGCAAATCCATGTTCTAAATCAAGGGACCAGGAAGGTAGGAGAGCTGCCAAAGAAGGACGCTAGACACAGGGCACAGGCTCTGTTTTTATTAGTACTTTTATTTTTTAACACCAAAACTCTTCCTGTGCAAACAAAATGGTATGGTTTCAAGCAAAATAAAATGACACTAAAATGAAGTAGATATGTAAAGGTTTTACGCTGACATGTGTAAATCCTACATATTTGAAAATCTCGTGGAATATTTTCTGAATTTTCTCATAATTTTCTGTCAGGACTAGATTTCTATCGATTACATCAATTCTGTAGAGCACTTGTGTCCAACAGAACTTTCTGAAAAGATGTGAACTTCATTCTATGTTGTCCAATATTTCAGAAGCCTTATGCTGTGGCCATTGAGCACTTGAACTCTGGCTAGAATTTTATGTACTTGTAACTAATTTAAATTTAAATGTAAACAACCCCACGTGGCTAGTGAAGCTGCACTGGGCACCTGCAAAGACAGGGTACCTGCAAAGACAGGGTATCTGCAGAGGCCATGGACTTTGAAAACTCCCATTAGCCTAGATGACAGTCATCAATCACACAAAATTACAATTTAATCTCAAAATTTCAAGAAGTTATAGACTATTTTAACATTAAAAAATAATGAATAGTGTTGATTTTTATATTCAGATTTTCCATACTCTGCTTTATTGTTTACACTGATTATAAACATTAATTGAATAATGAGGTCTATTGCAGCTCTTCCAAAATGTGTTTGGCTACCTTCTTAGGTATGTAAAATTTATCCTAGGGATACTAAGTAATCCAGGATAAATATCAAATTAAAATATTCTGAAGCGAACATTACTACATTTTGACAACTTTCATTGAAAAATATGAGTCTATATTTAGTTATGGGGTATGTGGCCAAAAACACACTTGAGCTTACTGGAAAGAGAAACCCCTCTTCAAGTTTTTGACTTAATGATGTTCTTTCCTTTTCACTATTGTAATTTTTATTTCCTTAAACTAGACATACAGAAGACTAACATGAAACACGAAAACAGCTTCTTAAAAAACGTTGTAAAGCATGAACATCTGCAGAAACAAACAAAACGAAAAAGAAAATAAGCAATCACCAAACAAAAACACCTTAAATGGCCCTTATAAAATGCAAAGGTTTGGGGAAGGTCTTGGAGTGTGTTCACTTACCATTTGTCCAATACCCTGGGCTCAGCAGAAGGAACTACTCCATATAATTACAACTGAACCAGATCGAAAAAGGTCACAAAGAACCAATACCTTTTTCTTTGCCTGTAGAAGCTCTTGATAGGCACTGGATCTTATAAAACGTGGGTATGAATCACTTTTCATCAATTTGTAAATGTGCTCCTAAAAAGAAATAATGATTGAAGTGCTTCTTTATTCTTTCTCAGGGAAAATCAAATACTGTGATAAGAATATAGGATATGGCCCAAAAACAAATCTGGAAGCAGCTAAAATTAATAATATAAGGTTGATGAAAATACTTGGTGTTTACAGGACATCTAAATCTTCAGATTTATTATTTTATTCATGGGTCAATATTTGAACTGGTTTGAGAGCTACAGAGGAGGCAAATCACATCCAGTCCTTTAAAAAAATGGAATTCAGTTAATGGAATGTCATGAAGTGATTTCAAATCAAGTGGTTGATTTATATAGGTCATTTGAGAATATAAATCTGCTATCTCTTAAAATTATTCCAGGCCAAAAGTGAATGATATGAAGTCAAGATCAAGTAATCATCCTAGATACCTCTGGCATCTACATATACTTGGAGGATGCAGACTGCCAGGATGAATCATCTCTTCAGTGCAAATTATGTGGAAAATTGTCATCCATATCCACTCTGGGCCAGAGCACAAGTCCAAAAACAAGTTTTGTGATATTTAATTGCTAAATCTCTCAGTTTGTATGTTTTTTTAAAAAACTCCTTTAGTGACAGATTAGGTAAATATTTAATAGTTTAATCCTAATCAGTCTGCTGCATTCTATCTTGATAATGAATATTGGTAGGCAAAGAAGTCAAGGAAAAAAAATATATTCATACAATTCACAGCTGGCCCAATCTAGGGAGATTCTGCTCTGGCCCACTGCAGCTCAATGGAGCATAAATACTCCATCCTTTTAATCTAGTGAAATACCAGTTAGATGCAGAGAGTATCCTCGATGTCCCAATCTCTTTTTGTTTGCAGAGAATATATATTTTAAGAAATGATGCTGTTTCCCTGGTCTCAAACACACCTGCAATAACTGGAGTTACTCTTGCTCAATATCTAGCCCAAGGCTCATCTCCAAGAGTATGGTACATTAGGGACCCTATCAGAATATGCTGTTGGAAAAGTGGGGTGATGTCTTCCTTTGGAGTCAAGTATTTTGGGATTCAGATCTTATTGTGCTCAAGACCTGCCACCTACGAACATACACATTTAGGCTGATTTATCCACCCTTCTGAGTCTTGGTGTTCTAATCTGTAAAATAAGGTTGTTGTGAGAATTAAAGGGATGATACATGTTTAGCAAAGAAGGGGGGTATGCATAGTAAGTGCTCAGATCTACTTGAATATATGCCAGGCACACATCCAGTGCTTGCCTGTATTAATTTAATCCTCACAAAACCTCAGTGAGGTTGGGAACCATTATTATACCCATTATTATGTCCATATGTGTCTTAAATAATGCTAGGAATTTCTATTACTATATTTTTGAAGTGAGGTTAAAACCCCAGCAAAAACTGGAGTTAAATATCTGAACTTAACTGAAAAAGAAGCCCAGGGTCAGGTGGTAATATTTTCTATAGAAAATTATGCCTTTTCATTTTATTGAAGACCTATTAAGAAAGAATATTTTTGATGCCACAGATAACAAAGAAATGTTCCTTTTAAGACTTTAGGAAGGTTATTCCAAACATTTTACACATCGTTGGCTCTAGAAAAATGCTTGAAATTTTATCTTGAACTGAAAGAAAGATAAATCAGCGAGAAGTAGAAGTGAGTAGAATTTCCATCCTGCTCACTCTCATGTGTCCCTGTAATTATTTCCACATAGAAGACCATGGCAGAGCCAGAGAGAATGGGTATCTGGTTAGCTGTTTCAACCTGTGTTCGTTTTCTATACCATGGCTGGTTTCTTTAAACCAAAGCCAGGAGAAATGTACTTTCCACTGAAAATGCTAATAAGTAAGGGCATGTGTGTGTCTTATTCTTCATCTTCTATATTTTATTTAGTAATGTGGTTATCTGAAAAACAAGATACTTTCTAGAACTAAGATTCTTCTCTAGAAGAGGTTTGAAAAATTCAGAAGTATGCATGTTCCGACTTAAAAGCCAATTTCAGTACATCATCAGGAAAACAATATCCTCTCATTTCAAGTTAATTTTTCTTCTTGAGCACAATTTTTTAAAGAGAAAGTAGAAATTCAGATTGTGTCTAAGGAGGCAATTATGTCCAGTTTGAAAAAAAAACCACTGAGAAAATTAATAACAACATAAATTTGTCTTAGGAAAATTAAATCTTAATATAAATTTCTTTTTTTCTCTTCACAGATTAAAAAGTTAAGTAGGATTATTCATACATGCCTAAATCTATTATTTCATTGTATCATCAAAGAACTGGCTTGAGTGTGATGTAACTTTAAGCTACTTCAGTTTAGTTCTGACTAGTCACAATAATGAATAATTTAGGAGTCTCAGAATCTTAGAATCTCCACATTGGAAGATACCTTAAGATTTCAAATATGTACTACTGAGGTGGGGTCATCATTAGATAAGTGTTTTCTCATATACTGGGTGACAAAGTAGAAAATGAAGTAAAAGTGTTCAATATTTCAACTATTCCCCTTCAAGAAATTTTCACATAAAAACTTTCAAATTTATAAGACATTCCCAGAATTCTAGAAACTGTTCATTTTAATGTGTCTCTGTTTTCTTTTAAATCAGTTGGAGTTATTTTACATACGGTTACCTAAATTGAAAATATTAAGCCTGGCTGCCAATTAAAGGAAAATAAAGCAAAACTATCTCAAATGCCAACTTCCTGGGAACACATTTGTGAGCTCGCATACTGTGAGGCCCACCCACATACCAACCTGAGCATCTTCGAATGTGTATCGTCCAGGCTCCTTCACATTCTGTGTGGTTTTGTCATAGCTCTTAGAATCCAAGTTAATGGCACTGGGGGCTCCTGGAGCCAGAAATTCTTGCCATATTTCCTGAACTCGGGAAGGGACTTCTCTAATAGGCCTTTTCTTCAGGTCCTCCACTGCTAGCCAGAATCTATGCAAAATGAGACACCAAGCAATAACTGTGATACCTCATAATCTGTGAATTCTTATAATATTGACTGACCATACCATTCACAATAATGCATAATAATGAGCTCCTCTTTTTCTGAGGGCTTCCAATATATGGCCTTTTTTATTTTTTCCATTAGTTGTATTCAAAGATAACAAAGTTTTCAAAAGGAAATATTGGAAAACAATCTCTTTTAAGTGTTTGTTGTTGAAAGCAGATCTCCCAGAGCCCCGATTCTTTACACTTTAATTTTTAGTAGAGCAAAATAGCACTGCTAAAGAACCATTTATTAGAAAGGAAGAGGAGTTTGAAAGGAATTACAGTGAGTGACATAGAGCATCTGCTTGGGGGATAAAGTAGGGCATTATACTGTATTCTTTGGATCTTTTGTCCATTTGAGCAATGAGGGTTGGAATGGAGAGGATTTTCTGCTCTACCTGGCAAGGGAATTACAGTGAAGCTTTACTGGAATTAAAAGAGGACTGGACACAAGATCAGAAAAGGCCCTAGATGGAGAAATTGGGGCAAGTAACTAATTTTAGTCTATTTAATTCAGAGAGTTATGGAATGACAGAAGCAACAAGCTTTCACATGCCATTGTTTTAAAGGTTTAAATTTGCAGAGGCATTATAGCAATTCAGAAGCTCTGAAAAAACAAATACATACTTCTAAAAATATAAATATTTTTTATATACTTCTACATAGAATATTTATACTGTAAGGAAAGAACACCAGAACCTATTTTGGTTGATAAGAGCAAATAGCAAGGTCATTTCTTTAAATTTTGCTCTATGTTATATGTTTTGGTTAGAACTAGAAATAATGTTGAAAAGATGAATATGTATATCATTATAATTTGTTAAAATGAAAAAAAATATGAAAAAGGAATTACTAGGTCTATGTTATCCTCAACATGGACCATTATCGCTCTAACGGCAGATGTAGTCATGCATGAAATGGGCAAATGGCCACAAAGACGGTCACTATAGGCTATAGAGTCTTAAGAGGTATATGACAGACAAGCAGAACCTTCAAAATTACTAAGTTTTAACTTGGGCATTAATGAAAGGTCAGAAATAAGCAATAAAACAGTGGAACTAGAGTTAGAATAGCAAATACTACTCAATCTAGTGAGTTTCCAGTTTCTAGAGATCATTTTCCTGTACATATATGTAACAGTAGGTTTACTGTTGTTTACTACATATATGTAACAGTAGATTTAGACAATGCCTTACAGATGAAACTACCATTACTGCTTTCAGAAGGGAAGGCTCAAGACCACTTCCTCCAAAAACAAGAGATTTGGACACTGTGCAATTTTGATTCTTAAAAAGATTTTATTTATTTGTTTGACAGAGAGAGACAGTGAGAGAGGGAACACAAGCAGGGGAAGTGGGAGAGGGAGAGAAGCAGGCTTCCCTGTGAGCAGGGAGCCCGACGCGGGGCTCGATCCCGGGACCCTGGAATCATGACGTGAGCCGAAGGCAGACACTTAATGACTGAGCCACCCAGGCGCCCCTGGACACTGTGCAATTTAATAGGAATGCCATGTGCCATCTGAGGGAGCATAAATGTTGTAATCAATGCTCATTCAAGTTCATTCCAGCATGCTTTTAACACCTTAATCAAAAGAATTTTTCTGTCCTCAAAGAACTACTAGAGAAAAAGATACACCATTCAAAAGGCTGCCTAATATTAGGAAGCCCAGGAGGGACTCCTGAGGAATAGCACAAACGACACAGTGTGGGAGTGCAGAGCAAGAAAGAGCCTTCTGCTGGGCAAGCACTGGGCTGGAAAAGGGAGTTCTAGGAAAGCTGTTATAGATGCAGTGATATCTTAATGAATTTGAAAGTACAGACAAATTAATAAAGGGTTGAGGAGGTATTAATAACAACATCTACACTAATATATAAGTGCAGGCACTGCTCTAAATGGTTTAGCTCTATTAACTCATGCAGTTCCTACAATTCTAGAGTATGTGCTATTATTTCCCCCATTTTCAAGAAACGGCAACTGAAGATAACGGAGATTAAGTTACTTATTTAAGGTTGCCCACTATGAGTGTCATAAGTAGGATGAGTTTCATAGCTAGGGTTTGCCCCTGGATAATTCGCAGAAGATGACCTGCTTCACCTGAACACTCAGATGGCATTTGACCACTCCCTCAAATATCTCCCTAAGAGCATCATCACCTTCCTTATTCTTGACCTTACTGTAGGTGCTATAATAAGTTAGTAGAATGGAAAGGATTCTGGTAAAATCCCATCCCCCTTAATATATGGTAGGTGGAACATGAAGAAGTGTTTTAATGTCTTTGAGTCTTAAGTTTTTCATCAGTAAAATGGGATGATAATGTCTATCTCAATTGGTTTCTGTTAGATTAAATAAGATAAATAATGTAAAAGGCACTTTTGAGTGCCTGACATATTTTTAGACACTCAACAACAAAACTCATGTTACTATGTTTACTTAGTACTTTTGGTAGGCTACGTGCTTTACCTGAAAAAGGAATGAGCAAAAACACACCAGTGGATAGCAGAGGTTATATCTGAGGAAGAAGTAGTCATCAATAAGCAGTATTTCTTGACTTTTTTTTCTGTCTTAATACTTGAAGAAAATGCTCATATGAGTGTCTCAGTGTGTAAAGAGCAGGTGCTTAAAGGCTGCTGCTTGATAAGATGCACTGAGACTTATTTAAGCTCAATTAGCCCTGCCAGTGAACTATTAGGTAGTTGTAATCTATTACACCAGATACCTAAGCGGAAGAAATGGGGCACAGATTTGGGGAGCAATGGAATGTAGCCTGTATCGGTTTATAGAAAGTCATGAGCGATTTACTAGCCAATGTGACTTGGACAAGATGATTACCTTCCCTCAGACATATTTTGCTTATCTGAAAATGGGGCAAGAATGTTTACACTTCATTTTTGTTGTTATGATTAGGTGTGTGATAATCAGAAATAGTAAACACAAAATATAGCGTGGCATACTTACAGCAGTAGTGGATATAATTATAATATAATGTACATATAAAATATGTATATTTATATATACATATAAAATATGTCATATTTCTTATACGAAATGACTTAGCTCGAAAATTAGCATAGCATAGAATTATTGAGTTAAGATATGGTTCAGGCTTGAACCAAGGAATCAGCAGTCATTCAATTCATCCTTGAAACAGAGTTTGCACCTACTCTTTCCTTTGCCCAAAGCTTCTTCCCTCTTCCTTTTAGTGGATGGGGAGGTAGAATTTCAGCCTGGTTATCTCTTGACAACCAGGTCATAGCCTAAAGCCATTTCCCCTGTGATGCCTTTGCTGACCTCCAGCTCTGGGTTAACTATCCGTCTATACTTCTCTGGTCTAAATAACCACCATTTTGTGTTGTGATCTCTTTTCTTCTCTGTATCCACCACTAGAATCATTTTTATTTGGTTAGGTGACCCTGGTGAGGCTTATTACTTGTTTATTTCTTCATCATGATACCAAGGATGTCAGCACTTATTTAAAAACTTAGAGAATTAGAGGAAATTCTACCTCCCCATCCTCTAAAAGGCCAAAAAATATTCTTTATCTCTGCTCTATTTTTTAATGCATTCTTATACTCAATAATTGACGATGTGGCCTCAATGTAAAAAAGAATCCTTAGCAACTGTAGATCTTGTAATAACCCTGTCAAAAAGGGTTCCCATAAACTTGAAAGAATAGGAAGCTACATCCCAACAGTTCATGACAAGTACACATATATAATAACATTCCTCCAGGTTCCATCTGTGGTTATCTTGCTTAAACCACAGGACATCTGTCAAAGTTCTACATTATTTCTGAATGGTTTGGTATTGGTATCTGTTAAATCATCTGAAAAGAATGTGACAATGCCTGGAGCTGTATGTACTGTTCCAATGAAAATAAATGAATGCTGAGACCTTTCTGTAAATGAATTTCACAGGACTGCATAAGTCATGGGAAAGTAAATTAGGGTATCATGTTTCAAAAGAATAATGAATGAAAGAGTTCATGGAAAAACATTTTTATGTAGTGGAAAGTTATCACTCACTTCAGTGATCTTAAACAGAGTCACTAAAATCTATTGCAGTGTCTCACATTTAAAAATTCAATTTCCAGGTGCCTCTTAAGTTAGAAAAATTTCAAAAATATGTTAAGGATGATGTTCACAACAGATGGGTGGAATGCACACCCCTTTTCTACTAACAGCTCAGTGTGGTGTGGATCTCAACTGCCCTGAGGCTGCATTTAAATGCACAAAGTGAATGAGCTGCCCCATAGTTTTGTTTCAGGTTATTTTTCATAGGCACCCAAATCTCTTTTCCTAGACCTTACTTAGGAAGCAATATGCAAAGAAGACTAATATTGATAAATAATGATAATTTAACTGCATAAATATTATTGGCCAGTCCTCATTTGCCAAACATTAGTCCAAGTATTACGCTTCTTTACAGAGTCCATTTCAAATGAGTCAAATTTATATACTTAAAAGATCAAGAAAAAGTATAAAAATAAACCATTATAAGAGATTGATAATGCTGGGCAGGCTTTGCCTTTTTTTTTTAGCTTTTTTCCCTCCATCAAGAGGGAGAAATTCAATGGGTTCATATCATCATCATGTTGGTTAGAGAGTGACTGATCTATTTAGTGCAAAATAACCAGACATACTACAGTAAGTCTCTCTGACATAGAATAAGATACAAACAATGTGTCTTACCTTAAATTTTCTGAGCTGAATTCTGACTCTAGAAATTTAAGGAACTGTTCTCTCCCAACTGGGTCTTTCAGTGCTTCATCCATGCCAAAACCCCATCGTTTTACCCTCTGCTGGCTTGGTTCTTTGCTTTCGGAGATAAAACAAAGCCAAATATATTCCTTTCACTACCAATTCTATCTTCTGTGATTACATTTCCCTTCAGAATCATATATACTGGGGAAGTTCCCATCTTTAACATATCTTTCAGAAAAAAATATCTGTGACTGATGGTTTTGCATGAAATTATGTTGAGGTATATGTTAGGCATTAACAGTGGTATCTAATGTTTATTGAGCATTAGGTGCTTAGTGCTCTAGATGGATTCTCTCTTTTAGATATTTTCCTGCAACTTTAAGAGACAGGTACTGTTATGTTCTCACTATACAGATGAAGAAATCAAGGCACAAAGAGAGTTATAACTTGCCAGTGTCTGAGAGGTAATAAGGGGCAATAGTCTAGACATTTTGACCTCAAAGCTCATTTCTTAGCTAGTATACAATGCCGTCTTGAGGTGGTATGTTGTACTGGGGGAAAATGCATTGGGAACCAAAAGGCCTCAATTCTGGTTATGAGTCTGCTGTTGATGAAATGTGTGACCTAATCCTAGCTGAGTCACAACGTTCTGGGGCCCAAATTCCTCATCTATAAAATCTAGAACTTATGGATGAAGACTTTGCACTTGTCAAACATTTAAGAACACTGGATGTGGGTAAAGGAAAGAAAAGGTCCATAAACACAGTTTAGTGAAGTGCCACTAAGTACAAAATCCTCACTCTGTAGAGTAAGAGGTGCTACTCTTTTCATGACTGTCAAGATCAGTGATCTAAGTCTTCCCTTCTCAGGAAGGAAACCAGGAAGTCTTAAATTGTGCCTTGGTTTTCTTAAGAAGTCAGTTCTCTTGTCAGATTCTCTTAGAGTGTTTATGGTAAGTTCATTTTGTTTTAAAATTGAATTTATAAAGGCCTACTTGTATTGGGCTTAAATAAGTATGGATTTAGCATTCACTTTGCTTGAATACAGCAAAATGAACGTGGCCCTGTGGATTTTCAAAGAAGCTAAAACAATGCACTAAGTTTCAAGAACTGAAGATCTCAACTCTGAATAGTCTATTCTGAAACTCTTATCCCTCTAATTTTGTGCCAGTCCTCCGGAAATGCAAATCTGAACACAAATGCAAGTATCTAAGGTTCAAAAACCATTACCTTGAGTGAGAACTTTATATCATGAGCTAATAGAGACAGAGTAAAACTAAAACTGACCTTACAGTTATCAGCTATAGAATTCTTCCTATTTCAACTAAACCCTGAAATAAGTGAAATACTTGAAGAGAAGAGAAAATGTCACATACCTTGCTTCAAGTTCCCAGAAAGTAGTATCATCAGACAGCCATGGATTAGAAGGGTCAGGTGGCACAAGAAATGGGTCATATTCTAAATATTGTTCCGTGTAACTTAACAGACTAGAGAGAAAAAACATTTTCATCTTCCTTAGTTTTTCTGGCTGAGGTTATATCCAGCCCAAAATAAGGAATACAAAATAAAAAAGTCTGGCCAAGGAATTGCTTGCTTATAGAGTAAAATCTAATGGCAGTTTTTATGTTTCGGTAACTTACACGCATCAACTGGTGCATCTTGGGAGGGAAATGTGGCTAAGGAGTCCATGTCTACTCATGCCTAATCCAAGTGAGGCAACACCCTTCCATTCAAATGAAGCAAAATGGAAGGCATCAGTGTGTAAAAAGCAGTGCTAAGAGTCAGTTCCAAACTTTAGTCAACCAGTCCACCCACAGCTGAATTGATTTTAGCCAACTTGGAGAACGGGTTAAAAGGGAATTTTTGTCAAAAGTATCTACAGGAGTTAGGTAAAGGGCAAAGCACTAACATTTCTTAAAAAATCTGTATTCAAAAAAAGAAAGAAAAGAAAAAGATGGAGAGGAGAGGAAAGAAGTTGGAGAGGTAGGATTTGACAATGCTCCAAAGTAAAGAAGACGCGTGCCATTAATAACAGATTTAAATGAAGAAATGAAAATATCTAAAATCTGTGTTTAATTCAAATTCTGAAGTCATGCAGTAACTGAAAAGTGTGAATGTTAAGATGAATTTACAGAGAGGCCCTAAGTTGCCAAAAAGAAACTTGATAAATTGAAAGTTTCATTTCTCTCAGCAGGAGTGAAAAATTCAACTCCTCGGAATTGTCCTCTGTATCTGATTCTGGTTGCATAGGATTGGATCTCTACAGATTGAAGATAGTAATGATCATTCTGTCATTTAAACTATAACAGAAGGGTTCTTTGGAAGTTTTCTATGTGCAAAATGGAAAAACAAAATAACATTTCTTACAGGATTCCATTTTTAGTGCATTTGACTGTCACATGAAATTTTTTTATTTATACGGGTATCTTGAAATACTTACCTATCAGCAACTTTTGACATTTTTAACCGATGTCTGTCTAACTGTATTTGCCAATATTTAATCTGAAAAGAGTTAAAGAAGTAGTTAAATAAGTAGTGACATTTTCATAATTTTCAACTCTAAATTCTGATAGACTGGGCAATTCTAAATAAGAATATGTTCTAAGTAAAATTTCAAAAGTCTGAAAAATCAAATGAGACAGCTCTGAAAATTAAAGTGTTTGAATATAAACATAGCCAATATCACTTTAGAACAGCAATGAATTTGAACATTCTGCATGCTTTAACAAAATGTAACTTTATTTTAAAAATGTTCTAGAGATTGTAAACATTTATTCATAGTGAATAACCAAATCAGAATCACCCCCCAATATTAAATTCAGAAAATAAACATATGTGTTATTTGTACTATAATTTCAAAGTAAATCCTACTTCCTAGTACTAGCCCAAGAAAGCATCAATGATACATGTTTTGGGAATAATTTTGTCAACATTTCAGGACAAACACATGGACCTAATCATATATGGAAAACTGTAAAACTCTCTAAATTACTTTCCATTCACTGTGATTATAAATATACCAGAAAAAGTATTATTACACTATTGATAAACCAATATCACAATAACATATTAGGGGAAAAGAATAAAAAGGGGAAAAAGCCCCATGACCAAGCTAATCAAGAGATTTCACTATTATTTGATTTAAGAGACACTGGTGTTTGCTTTGAAATATGGCTTGGAGGCAAAACTATTGATCAATTAGTGAAACAAGACACGATGTATACCATAACTGTACACCAGTGTTAATAAGGGAGAACTTCAAGAGGCTTATGGAGAGCAGTACCAGGAGAATAAGAAAAAGCACTCTGTGAAGATCATGTCACAAGACTGGATACATAAAACACATGACTCAATGTGACCAGCTTCTTGTCTTCTCCTTCTTCAAGAAGAGCTCCAGAGTACGAAAAAACTCTTGAAATGGAGGCATCTAAACAGCAGTGGGCATCCTTTTTAAAAATTGGTTAGAGGACGCAGGATTTGGGGAATTAAAGAGTGAAGAGATTTGGAAACCATCTGCATATAGTGATACATTTCCAGGTGACTACATATCTTACAATTAAATGATTTCACTACCTTTTAACTGCAACTCTTCTCTATGAAACAGTCAACCACACAAATAACTTTTTGAAAACCCCTCCCATTAACATTCACCAGGTAGTCTTTATAGCTACTACTCTGTAAACCGTCAGCAGGTCATTTTATAGACTGACCCACCTGTTGTTGTAACTCATCTTCTGTTGGAGGTTTCATTTCTGGTGTGGGTGTGTGGGTAGGACTGTGACTTCTAATGTCATTTTGTAAACCATAGACAGACTATATTAAAGTAAAAAAGAAATATGTTAGGACAAAATACCATTTATAGTCACAGACTTTCTAAAAGGTAATTTTGTGTTATATATTCAGCAAGGTAACTCAAAGTTTTGCTGCATATTTGATGAAGCTTCTTATTAAAATTCAAAGGCACTGCTATCATAAATATCATATGAATATAAAATAGAAGCATAGCTCTTTGAAAAAATATGTGGTTAGATTATTAACTTTGACAGAATAATTGATTATATGGAAAGAACATGGTAAGTCTGATAATAAGATTTGGGGGTGGACTGAGAGTACTAAGTTGGGGAACAACAACACTATATAACATTTAATAAGTGCTGATTTCAGAATAAAATAAGGGTGGATATAGAATAGAATAAAAATTTAGTAAGCCAAAAGAAAACAAAAATAATTTGAGTTTTAAAGAATGGAATACTGAGGAGAGAGACAAGGTTAACAATTCCATTGTTGATTTAGTCTCGGCTAGTGTGATCAAAGACACCCCAGAGTGCTCCAACTTTCCCAACTTGGCTATTTGGTCGTTTACCTCACCGTACTGGCCTTGCCATTCCGTGGCCACTGGGTGCTTTTTGCAAACATCAGTGATCCCAAAGTTTTCACTTTGGAATTCTTGATGCCCCAGTGCTTCTTTTGTATTTTGTCAAAAGGTCAAACCTATTACTTAGGGATATTCTTTTTTGAGAAAGACCTATTATGGGGGGGCTGGTTGGCTCAGTCTGGTAAGTGTCTGCCTTCAGCTCAGGTCATAATCTCAGGCCCTGGAATTGAGCTCCGAGCCCCGAGTTAGACTCCCTGCTCAGCGGCAAGTCTGCTTCTCCCTCTGCCCCTCCCCCTGCTCGTTCTCTCTTTCTCTCTCAAATAAATAAAATCTTAAAAAAGAAGAGACCTATTGCTTAGTAAGTACAAATAAAGATCTGGAGACTTAAAAAGACAAAAAAATCTTCAACTGAGAGCGAGACATCTCACATGTCAACTCAAGGGAGAAGCCAGATAGCTTTTTCTTTAATATCAAAGAATTATTATTTTAAAATAAAGGATTTAATATGAGCTATGGAGCACTGTTTCTTTGGACATGAGGATGAGAGGTAAGGACATAAAACTTCATGAGCCCACAAAATTAAAGTTACCAGATAGTTTTGGAAGAAACTCTTAAAATCAGAAAAGGGTAGATCCAGATGCTTAACTGAGCCAATTTTCAGGTTCATCACCAACTTCACCAGTATCTCTAAATTCAAAGGTGTTTTGTTCTGGACCTGTTTTCACTCAGACTCTATCTTTTCTTAATGGTCACCTGTTGGTTTTATACCTGGACCCTCTGGATGGACTTGGTTTTTCCCTTGTAATTCCCCATTACTTTGCTCTTAGGCTTTCTTCAGTAGATTTTGACTTGGCTTTAACTTACCTGAACCATCCACTTTAGACTGTCTTTGGTAAGTCTTTCAATCTGCCCTCTCTCGACCTCATCTCAACCTCTGGGAACTCAGGTTCTATCACCAGGCAACAATTTCAACCCAACGATCAGCACATATGCTGTGAATTAATTATTAATAGGACTGAACCGAATGGCTTAAACTTCCTCTGTTCTTTCATTTAATCATTCAACATCTATTAAACACCTATTATATGCTGGATATAATGCTGAGCATTAGGGATACAGAAGTAAACAAAGATAGATACGTTTTCTCCTCCACTGGAACTCACAACTTAGTGGAGGGAAACATGTTACACAAATAATCACACAAATAAACACACGATTAAAACTGTGATAAGTGTTATGAAAGAAGATAATAACGGGAGCATAGGGCCTGAAGTACAAGGAGACTTAATCTCCACCAAAGAAACAGAAAAGGCCTATGTGAACTACTAACAGTCATCTCTGAACTTTGAACTCTGAAGTAACTGGTGAGGTTGATTTTTTAAAAATTAGGCAAGTGTCGGGCGCCTGGGTGGCTCAGATGGTTAAGCGTCTGCCTTCGGCTCAGGTCATGATCCCAGGGTCCTGGGATCGAGTCCCGCATCGGGCTCCCTGCTCCTTGGGAGCCTGCTTCTCCCTCTGCCTCTCTCTCTCTCTCTCTCTCTCTGTGTCTCTCATGAATAAACAAATAAAATCTTTAAAAAAATAAAAAAATAAAAATTAGGCAAGTGTTGCCATTTGCAACAACACGGATGGAACTGGAGGGTGTTATGCTGAGCAAAATAAGTCAATCAGAGAAAGACATGTATCATATGACCTCACTGATACGAGGAATTCTTAATCTCAGGAAACAAACTGAGGGTTGCTGGAGTGGTGGGGGGTGGGAGGGATGGGGTGGCTGGGTGATAGACATTGGGGAGGGTATGTGCTATGGTGAGCACTGTGAATTGTGCAAGACTGTTGAATCACAGACCTGTACCTCTGAAACAAATAATGCAATAAATGTTAAGGAAAAAAAAAAAGAAGATAGCAGGAGGGGAAGAATGAAGGGGGGAAATCGGAGGGGGAGACGAACCATGAGAGACGATGGACTCTGAAAAACAAACTGAGGGTTCTAGAGGGGAGGGCGGTGGGAGGATGGGTTAGCCTGGTGATGGGTATTAAAGAGGGCACGTTCTGCATGGAGCACTGGGTGTTATGCACAAACAATGAATCATGGAACACTACATCAAAAACTAATGATGTAATGTATGGTGATTAACATAACAATAAAATAAATAAATAAAAAAATAAATAAAAAATAAATTAACTGCATTTAAGTTGCTAATAAATAAAAAAAGAAAACTAATGATGTACGGTGATTAACATAACAATAAAAACTAAAAAAAATAAAAATTAAGCAAATGAAAGATCAATTATTCAATAATCATAGACAATAAATGTAGACATTTTCCAAGGTTTACAATTTTTCAGTTGTAGACATTCATTTATGATAAAGAAAACAAAAAGACTCTAAAGCTTGAACACTGCATTCTTGTTTACCTTAGTTTAATTACTTAAAGTCCTTAATAAAAATCTATACTCAAGTAAATAATGCTTATAAGGTAAGAGAGCTGACTGTTTTAACAGTAAGTTTTGTGGTTAAGATTAAAAATAATTAAAAAGACTGCTAGAAAAATACTGCATTTTATGCTATCATGGAAATAAACTGATCTATAAACTATCTTCTGCTTCCACATTTCTATGATTGTTTCCATATGCATGCATAGCACATAGGCTCAGGAAGTTCCATTAAGAACCAAATCCCTGGGAGGTGGTGTTTAAAGCAGCCCTCCAGCAGCCTCGCTACCAGCTCTGGGCTCTGAGGTTACTATGGAGTTTCCGTTTCATGTAGGTAAACATCAGGAGTTCTCTCTTTCATCAGTCAGGATGGCTTTCATTTTCTGGGGACCAGTGAAAGCTTTTAACTTTGATTCTTGGCTACAGTGAAAGTGGCCATGAATAATGAAGTTTTATGTACAGGGCTTATTTTAGGGACAAAGGAGGTAAGGAAATTGATCCTACTTTGGCAGACAAGTTCTAAGGATCATTTGAAATGTAAAAGTTTTCAATTTTTTTAGAAAAAGGAACTATATTAAAATATTGGCCTAGAGCTGGTGGAGTAGAGCTAGCAAAAGGTAGGGCTGGAGAGGAAGGGACATGAAATTGTCTCAATGGGGGGAAATAAAATTAACCAATTGGGATCCATTTTGAGTCATTAGCAAAGCTAGTTACCAATCAAGATGCTTTGACTTGATGAATATACCCATTTATTTAAATCCAGGGTGCCTGAACAAGCTTTTTTTCACATAGGGTACCATCCAAATGAATACTGGGTAAGTTATTCATAAAATGAAACAGATCTGACTTTCTACATAAACCCGTTCATATGTGATTTCCCTTCACACCTTAGAAGAAGTCTAAGAAAATGCTCTCCTACTTTTATCTTTGGCAGGCGGTGGGGAGGCGGCGCTGCTTTAAAACAGAAAGTAAAGAGTACAGGAAGCTTTTATGCCGTTCTATGTGGAGTGAAATCTCTGGGGTTTTTCCAACTGGTGGTGGAGGGAGGGGATCTTTCTCTTTCTTCTGAATTGTTCAGCTCGACCAGACAATGGATTGGGACCACATCTGCTGGTGTGTGGAGGAAACCAGTGCACAAAGAGAGCAGAGAAAAGAGGGCATGGGAGAGTGAGCGAGAACCCTGATGAGTCCCTGGGCCTGTCACCCCCAGGGGCTAACTCTGCCCCGCAAACTCCCAAGGGTTTAGAATATTCCCTGCTTTTTGCTATTTTGAGCAGAATGTTTGTTGCCTGCCACTTGACTATACTTCTTACTTAAAACCCTTTTGTTACCCTAAAGCATGAGTAGTTTCTTCTGTTAAAATTAAAATTCCACATTATGCATATACAAGTGAGGAAATGCCAATTTTTTTCTGTATAAACCGTTTTATGTATAAACAGCCACTGCATTAAAAGCATGAAAACTAGACATTTAATCATGAATTTCCTAACTGTTCCTCCAGAATGTGCACATTAGCTATTATGTAAAATATGAAGTGTCTTAATGCCTAAATGAAGGTGACAGAAAAAAGAAAAGTAACGAGACAAGAAACAGCTTACTTTTGTTTTGAAATATGGGTCCTGAAGTTATAGGAAGCAATCCAACATGGATCCATTCTGTGATGGTTAATTTTATGTGTCAAGCTGGCTGGGCCACAGTGCTCAGATATTTGATCAAACATTATTATTATTCTGGATATTTCTTTGAGGATGTTTTTGAATGAGATTAAAATGTAAATCAGCAGACTTTGAATAAAGCCAATGGCCCTCCGTAATGTGTGTGGGCCTCATTCAATCAGCTGAAAGCCTGGACAGAACACAGAGACTTCCTCTAAGCAAGTGGGAATTCTGTCAGCAGATGGCATTTCTTCCCTGGGACTCTAGCCACTGGCCTATCTCTTCAGGTTTGGGGCTTGGCAAGCCTCTACAACTGCATGAGACAATTTCTTAAAATAAATCTTTCTCTCTCTCTCTTCCTCACTCTGTCTCCGTCTTTCTCTCCTGCACCCTTTGGGGAACCCTGGCTGATACACAGCCTGACCTATTTAATTAAAGTTTTAGAAACAGACTGAAGAAAATCAGGCACACAGTTGCCCTTAAAATTTGCCTAGATTAGGCTGGTTTCTTTCTGGCTATGCTACATTACCATTCCTTCATAAAAACGTAAGGAAATACATTCCACCTACTTTGTATTTTAGTAAAGACAGATTTAGAAACTGACTGATCCTAAATACTTAAAAATAGCTCAAATCAGATGTACTTCTAAGCTTTCTCTTCATATGTTTGATAAATATTCCAATCCTTGATATTCTTTAGGTACATGTGATAGATTACTGCTTTAAGGATTTACTGGGTCCCTTATTCTTGTTATGATATATCATCATGAGAAATATTATTACAGCTGACTGTCAAAGAAATGAACAGCAGCTCTCTTTGCTAAGGGCAGCATCTGTGTGCAAAAATGAATTACAATCCAGGGGTTCCACTTTCTTACCAGAAGAAGTTTAAAACAGAGGGTGGTCACACCATTAAGAGAATGAGCAAAGGACATAGTCGGATTAGCTATGGAAGGCAAAGACAGTTCCCAAGGTGATAGGCTGGCCTCTGCCATTTCTGTCTAAGGCTTGCAATCCCACAGAATTGCCCCCTCCACAAGGACAGAACTGTGAAAACTTCAGAGGGTGGTGGGACAGTTTGTTGATGGCCATGTATTTTTTGTAATAAAATGGGGTGGTGATTTAGAATCCCAAATCATTCAAATTCCCTTGATAACATGTTATGGACTGAGTTGCAACCCTCTGAAATTCATGTTGGAATCCTAATCTCCAATGTGACTACATATGGAGATGGAGTCTATGAGAAGGTAATCAAGGTTAAAGGAAGTCATCGGGTAGGATCCTAATCCCATGGAGCTGGTGTCCTTACAAGAGGGACAGACACCCGAGCTCTATCTCTGCCATGTGAGGCCACAGCAAGAAGGCAGCTGTCTACAGGCCAGGAGGAGAGCTCTCACCAAAGACCCAACTTGATCTGGGACTTCTAGTCTCCAGAACTGTGTGTAAATGAATTTCCATTATGTAAGCCACCCAGGTTGAGGCATTTTGTTATGGTTGCTTGAGCAGACTAATATATACCACTTAACACAATTACATGGTTATAGATGTATAGACATTTGTCTGCTTCTTCACTGTGTGCACTCTCATTAGACCATGAGCTGTGGGAGCAAGGTCATGCCTGCCCCATCTACCGCCAAATACCTAAAAACCAGTACATACCTGGCATAAAGTAGAGACTTGTTAAATCTGACTGAATGGGTCATTCCAGTAACTAACCAAATTGAGCTAATGTAGCAGTGGTCATAAATCTATAAGACAAACCAGTATGTGACTTAAAGAGTCCTATAACTTTCTATGTAAAATAACATGATTTGTGAAGATTCTAGCAAATTCAACACTTCTGACTCTGAGAAGCTATATATCTATATCTATATCAAAAAGTGAAAAAAAAATCAGCGTTCTCCAATTGTTGAAGACAAGGGCATACATGCTACTTGTTGTAGCATTCTTCAGAATTTTTGTTTTTCTCTGGTAATTTCAGGTTATGGAACTCTGCAGTTAGGCCCTGCAGTTCTACCATTATTGATTCACAGGAAATTAGACCACAACTGAGACACTTAGAGCTCAGTGATTCCAGCTCTACAGCATTTCACCTTGCTAGGCCTGGTATTTTCCCATCATTAAGTGAGGGCTGATAGTATGTGAAGCACAGCATTACCAATTAATGCTTTTCAAGTTTTCAAAAAAAAACACAATGCCATGTGTAGCACTGGTAAGACATCAGTACCATGTAGCATTAAGAACACAGTGTAAATGATGGCTTTCTTATCTGTAAGTCCTATCTGTCCATCCATATGCTTTCTCTTCTGAGTCAGAGCATATCTCAGTTGGTGTCTGTTGGGAAAGCTTGACACAAAGTGAGGTATTATGAAAAGTAATTCTTCAAAATTCAGAAGTAGTGATGGGTGGCTGAATGTGCTTTTTGGAGAGATGATTGCAGCTCTGAATGCTGTTCCACAGCACAAAACCAGTCCCCAGTGCCCTGAGGCTGTGCTGTGCATAGAGGAGGGAAGGAACTGCGTGAGGCCAGTCACCGGAGAGCAGGGCCAACAAGCCTGGTTTGGTCTGGCTTTGCCTCTTCCTCTCAGAGAGCTCCTAGGGGCAAAAGCTTTGGAGCACTGCACCTGAGTGGTTTTGTGGCACTTTTCCTGCGGCTTCTTTATCCTGACATCAAGGTAAACTGCCTTAAAAGAAAGAAAAGGTCCTTGGATCACATTGGGGCCTCATGATGTTTATATTTCTAAGGATGGAAGAAAAAGACAACAAGAAGTAAGACTACAAAAAGAAATGTTTAGTGCCTATTGGAAAACCCTAATTCCACATAAGGAAAAAGCCATGAAAAGGAAGGTCTTGAGCTTTGCGGAGTGCTTTAATCCAGTGGTGCCAACCTTGCTTGGTCTGTGTCCTCAGCTCAGAAATTCTTATGTGCATCAAGTGTTTTTCATGGAATGAATAAAAATGCTTTCTGCGTGTATGTGCTACTTTAAAAAATATGGAGGTACTATGGCTGTGTATTTTCAAGAGATTGTTTAAAATGTCACTGAATTCTGGATAGCTTTTTGTTTGTTTGTTATGTATTCTCTCACATAACAGACACCAAACAAACATACGACCACTATCTTATGGTTATGTCACAAAATTCTGGTGGTAAAAGGGGATCCTCATACAAACTCTGTAGTTATATGTCTTTATGATGTCCCTTTTCCCCTCATAATTTTCTCTAAAAATGCCCTTCTCTCATCAATATCACTTTTCTCAGATAATCTCCATCTGTGTTTCCTCATCCCATGGGCTCTGAAAGAGAAGCCTTTCTCTGCTGATGATCCTTCCTTTCGATGGAAAGAGGAGGTGCCCTCAGCATCCTTGCCCCCCATCACAGCCCCCTGCATGCCCTGGGACCTGTGTGTGCTGGAGAACCACGATAGGAGTACTTCCTCAGGACAGATGGACTGACAGAAGACCAGGGTTTGAGCTGCCAGATTTTCTTCTAGCCAAGAAACAAGGAAAAGCAAGGAAGATGCTAGAAGATACTCCAGGAAGTGGGCAAAAGGTTTTTGACTGATGTCCTCCAAATAGTGCAACCCATACCAAGATCAGCACAGCAAACATGGATATTACCTTCCGTGTTTTGTGTGGGTTTCTCATTCTGGATGACTTCTTAATGTCCACTTCAGTGGTATTTACACAACCAGGCTGAAAATGGAAAAACAGAGAGACAAAGGAATCTTTGAGGGTGAGGTTTTTGATCCATGCATTAATGACTTGCCTTCCAGGTCCCTGGCAACTCTTCTAAATGGCCACAGCCACTCTCTCAGCAGAGCCAGTAAAAAGATATATACTCTCACTCCTTGCATAAAAAGGACTTCAGGTAGCATTCTCAAGTAACTTCCAGAAAAACAGGGAAAAGAAATGCATGGGTCTTGCTTGTGAAAGTGGGTGTTGACATTAGTAGTTGCTAAGCCAACAGATTCAGAGCAAGGGTGTCCAAAGATCAAGTGGATCATAGCCCAGCTGGTACCCGCACACAGCCCTGCTCAAAGTGCCTCTGTACGTGAGGTGATACTGTTAAAGCTGTTTGCTTCCCAAGTTGGAAAATTACAATCTGTTGACCTAGCTCAAATCGCAGAATGAATTTTTATTGTTCTGGTGCACAGAAATAGAGAGTTGTAAAGCTTCCTTTGTATTTGGAGGAGAGGGAAGGAGGAAGAAAAGAGGGAGAGGGTGGGGGTGAGGAGAAGGGAAGGAGGGAGAGGGAGGAGAGAGGTGGTAGGAGAGATGATGAATCAGGAAAAAGAGAAGAAAGGAGATTCAAGAATACAGGAGACCTTATATCTGCAAAGGTCCTTAGATATCACTTAGTCTTTAGAAGTGAATGGGCCGAAGTGGTTATATGGATTGTGTTTCACCAACTTCGAAATTTTGGTACCAGATATAGGGATCTCTGGTACTAGGCAAAAGTATTATGTTGTACAACTCCGCTCAGTTTCTCTGGTTTTTTTTTTTTTTTTTCCCCACAGATTGCAAGATCACTAAAACATCAGATATACCTGACAGCAACTCCAGAGAAACCGTGAATGTGGAAAAAGACTTTTGGGCAGTTGGGATGTTGTGGGAGGGGTAGGGGCAAAAAGGCAGCACTGGTGTGATTCCAGAAATAAGCTGTTCTCTACACTCACTGGCAGGCAAGGGGGTTCACTCTCTGTATAATGAGGACACGGGGCATTTTCTTAAACCACCCTGTCCTGATAGCACAGCCACTGGGGCAAAACTCCAGCATAATAGTGTAAGGGATACAGAAGTAAGGAAGGAAAGCCTTTTTTCTTAATTTTTTTCCCTACATATGTTGCATGTGAAATATATATACCACAAACACATACACACACACACACACACACACACACACACACACACACACACACACTGCACTAAAATGTTAAATAAATCACAAATTTGGTTTGCATATCTATATGGAAATAGCTGTTTCAGCACCATGGTCTGCTTGGCAGAAGAGCACCCACCTGGATTTACTGACACTGAGCAACTCACTTTAGCTACCAGCATCAGACTGATCAATATCTGATATTCTGATTTAATTTTTCTGTGGCTCATTGCGGCATGAGTATTTATTAAAAGACCCCCAGTGATTTTGATATGCAGCCAGGATTCACAACCATTGATCTAGATGTAACAAAACAATGTTTTGAAAATATTAAAGCAATATTAAAGTGTCTTCATTTCCTATTAGATCTCCATTTCCTTGCAACCTTCCACATGTAAGCCTCACTCCATTAGGAAGGCGAAGCACTGAAATTCTTTAAGCTCTTACTGATTCAGCAAGAGCCAAGCATGGCAAGACACATCATAGAGATCTTCTTCTATATGTTAAGAGATGGGAATAATGAGGATATGATATAGAGGAAAAAGGGAAGGCATATCTTTCCATGAGCTGGAGAAAAAGAGACCATTTATTATTTATTCAGAAATATTTATTTCTGCATCTAATTGCCAGATCTTGTGATTTTGTGACAAATGGTAAAATGCAAGGATGAATTATAATCTTCTAATATAATAAGCATAATAAAATGTGAATCAGCACTATGTGGGAGCACAGGACTGTAGAGAAGTTGGCCTGGGCATTATGCAACGAACATTTCATACATCCATTATTATGCACACCCTCTTGTTTCTCACCAACACGGCAGATAAATATATATATTTTTAGTATTTGAGCAAATTTGATCCCAATAAGACCATATGGTCTAATATTTTTAAAATATTAAAAAGGCAGTCATCCTTTTAAGGCGTATATGACATGTACCACTAGCTGGCACTAGGTCCATGTGAAATGTTATGCCTAAACTGGTTTTCTGCACTACTAAACACAGCTTCCCAATAAGATATAAATAACACTACCGTTACCAAGTAAGCACTCAATACAAATGTTCAAATATGTACTACTGGCCCAATATAATATTAAGTTCATAGTATTGTTCAATTTAAGGAATAATAATGAAGTAATATTTACATTGGCCTAGAAAAGAATCATAAGTTACTTATAGCAACTCAAAGGTGTATTTATTCAACAGAATTAAGCTGTGTTATGACATTACTGGAACACTATTTATTGAAAAGTAGAATTTAATGCCTTGGAATCCATTCCTGAAGTAGTAAAAGGATCATATTATTGAGCAATATTACTGCCATAGTGTTCAAGTAAGTGTCTTAATGAGTTGCAAAGCAGAGCTATTGTGGTTTCATCACTGACTTTACTTAAAAGAATCTGAATACCATTCAGTTCCTGTCACAGCAAAATGCCATTATTAGTTGTAGCAGAAGGCACACTGTGCTCAGGATAACTAGGGAAACTTGAGGACTCTTCAGTGAAGAGCAGCATGAAGAGACAATAATCGAGAACTACTTTCTTTAATTCAGTCCCAGCAGCTGAAGTGAAATCGGGCAAAACAATGTCCTAAATGACAAATGAATGGAGATTTAAGAATGAGGTGGCAAACAGAACTGATAATAAGAGACACCCATATTCCTGGAAATCAGGAAAAAGATATGATTCTGGGAAAATTAACGTTTTGAATATTGAATGTTGAAATATTTTGAATAATTATTGGTTCAAATGTGATTAAATTACTGGAAAAGACTCATCATTTTGTAACACAGTACAAGTTTTAAAAGTTCAATTTGTCATGTATTGTACCTCAATCATGATTCCTTACTCTTATATAAAGTGATTACAGATTTCAGAGTGTTCTATCTCAGGATATATTTTTTTAAACATCTAATTGAAGATTTTATTTCTGTTCTTGGGTCAGCAGGGCTTACTAAATGCTATATGTGAAGGAAGTTGTTTAAGGTGACTATTCTGGAATTCCTTCCATTCAACCTCCTCTAATAATATTTATTCATTTGATTACTACTCAAACTTATTTGCTGGACACAGAGTCTGGATTATGTAATCCTCTTCAGTGTAGGCTGTGAATGAATTCTGAGAGTCCACAGACAGAAGGACGGCTCTGGCAGCAGAGGGGAGGGAAGTACCATGATGGCTTGGAGCTGTGGATAGTGGTCAGGTCAGGTAGAAATTGCAGCTCGTGGTAAGGACTTTGGTTTAAGTCTAAAGATAAGTGGAGGTCATAAGGGAAGTGATTTATATTTTTAAAAATTCACCTCTCACAAAAATTAACTCAAGACAGATCACAGACCTAAATGTGAAATGCTAAACTATAACCTTCCTAGAAGGTAAGGATCGGAGAAAGTCTAGGTGACCCCGAGTTTGGTGAGGACTTTTTATATACAACAAAAGCACACAGTCCTTGAGAGAAATCGTTGGTAAGTTGGACTTCATTAAAATTAAAAACTTCTGCTCTATGAAAGATAAGCCAGACTGGGAAACAACATTTGCAAATGGTACATCTGATGAAGACAAACATACAAATATACAAAGAATTCTTAAAACTCAACAATGAGAAAATGAACCACCCAATTAAGAAATGTGTAAAAGGTCTGAACAGACACCTCACTGAAGAAGATATACAGACGGCAAATGAGTGTATGAAAAGATGTTATACATCATGTGTCATTAGAGAACTGCAAATTAAAATAAAGTTGAAATACCACTACACCCTTACTAGAATAGCCAGGATCCAGAGTCCTGACGACATCAGATGCTGCAGGGCAGGTGAAGCAGCAAGAACTCTCATTCCTTCCTGGTGGGAATGCAAAATGGTACAGCCCTGTAGTGGAGGCCCTGACAGGTTTTTCTTTTTATTCTTTTTTTGTAATGCAAATATATGATTTAGGCTTTGATGATCGAGCAACCATTTCAAATAGGCACCCATTTCAAAGACTGCTATCTCAAAGAAACACATCTTCAGCCACACCACTAGATAAAAAGGCAGGCTGCCTCCCACACTGGGGTTCCTTTGTTTTAGAGATCTTGGTTGATCTCAACAGCTGATCATCTTGGCTACTTGTTTTTGTCTTATTTTTGCTCTTTCTCTTCCATTGCTTTAAATTCCTGCTATTATGTTTTAAATTCACCAATAAAGAGTGAGCCCATGAAGCTCTAAGCCCCCACCTGGACCCTAGTAAAAGCAGTACCCCAGGCCCATGTCCTCCCCCTCCCCTCAACCTCATTACGTGGCCCCCAATGTGCTATGTAATTAACACGTTCTGTAAGTAATAAACCTTTATTTTTTCAAAGTTTCCTGATAGCTGTTGTGGAAGGGCAACTTGCAGTAACAATAAGAACCACAGAGTTGATCCACCACAACACTGGTTATTGACAGGTTGAGACCAGCACAAAACAAGCGACTTTGGAAGAGTTGTTCAGCCGTTTCTTAGGAAACTAAACCTCCTTTTCCATCTGATCCAACAATTGTACTCCCTAGTATTTATGCAAAAGAGTTGAAAAATTATGTCCTCACAAAAACCTGCACATGGATGTTCAATGCAGCTTTATTCATAATTGCCAAAACTTGACATCCTGCAGTAGGTGAATGGATAAATAACCTGTGGTATGGAATACAATGGAACAGTGTTTAGGGCTAAAAAGAAATAAGCAATGAAACCATGAAAAGACACAGAGGGACCTTAAATGCATATTATGAAGTGAAAGAAGTCAGTCTGAAAAGGCTACACCATATGATTCCAACTATGACATTTTGGAATAGACAAAACTA